GTTTACAAGCAACAACCTGTGCTGAAAACAGTTGGTCCCGTGGCTGTTGTGACCGGGACTGGGCAAGGATGGGGTGGCCCAGCAAACCCCTTCATGCACCAGGAATTTTCCTGCATCCTCCCCAAAGTTTCCCAGGCCAGGCAGAGCTGAGGTTCCCCTTGGCCACGTGGGTTTGCCTCTTCCTGCCTCTGATCCCCCCCACCCCTGTGCCACCAGCACGGGGCATCTCAAGGCTCTTTGAAATTCTTCTTTGCCAAGGTGAAAAATCGTTTCTCCTAAACGTTTTCACCCGGCCCAAGAGGCTAATTTTTAACAGGTTCCCGTGTTAATTTCGTTTTTAAAGCAAGGCACAAAGAATTCAGCAAAGTTTTCCTCTCTTACTTTGCTCCCTCCCAACCAGATCCAAAAATCAGCAAATACCAGTGTATTTTTGTGCGCTTCCCATCGAATGGCACATTCACTGAAAAACAGGGAAACTTTTAAGCCTGAGGAGAAGAAAAGTGCTATTCATTAAGGCCAATTCTCTACTTAATTAGAGCATGAGAGCTCACAGCCATGGCCCAGTAATAGCAGGCACCTCAACAGGAATAAAATTATATCCAAAGAACATTTTCCCAGGTTGGAAAGATCCCTGCCTAGCTTTACACATTAAATCAAGGCTTCTGCCTGCTCTGATTCCAGCAAAAATTAATTTAGTGGAAGAGGGTTCACGCCAACATTAAGGGCCCCTCTTAATTTGGAGAGCACCAGAGTTGGTGTTGTGTTTGAACCCTTTGGGGACGCTGGGAGCATCCTTTGGTGTGCAGCAGGGACATTATCCATTTATTTTTGCCACGGGATCAAGGCAGGGGTAATGATGCTATGGAGCTATAGGAGAAATCCAGGGCTGGACAGCCACAGCAGACACCTTAATCCTGTGTCATGAATCCTATGCAGTGGTGCACACTAAGAAAACTTGAATTTATTCAGTCTAGGACCAAAAAAACCCTTTTTGGGAGGAAGAATTTACAACTGGGTTGATGTCACCCAGCAGATCTGGCCCCAGATTTATCACCTGTTTTAGATGCTGTGATGTGGCAGAGTGGAAGCCATTCCCAGGGGAGCTTTCCCTGTGAGTCCCCCAGGCTGTGAGGGGTCTGTGACAAGGTGGTGACTGCAGGAACCAAGTGTTTGTTTCTTTCTTCTTCTGACTCAATTTCCCCTGGAATGGAACAAACCCCATGGGCTGTATGGGCTGAGGCCCCGTTAGACCCCTCCTATTTATAAAGTAGCTCATTAGGGTGACCCTAAAGGTATTACAAGCCCTCTGTGGCTGCTGCTGGCCACGTTTGGCTTCACAGCAAAGGACAAACCTGGTCACAGAGGGCCAAATAACCGAGAGTGTTACGGATTTCCTGGCTTCTTTTTTTTTTTTCTCTTCTGTATCTGTCTTTAAGTGGTGTTTGCCAACGAGGAACGTAGCCAGGGGAGTCCCTCAAACCGTTGGCAGGAAGTGTTTCTCACTTTCCACGTTCAGTGAGTTTAGTCTGCTTTTTCAGCTATTTATATAAGTTCAGAAAGATGTCAAAGCAAAGGGCAAGAAGCAGTATTAAAAATGTGTGCATGAAGCACTTATTTTTGTACGAGTAGTACAAGGTTTGTATAGAGTTTTAACACTGTGAAGTGTAGCGAAAAATCACAATTTCCATTTACTGGAGGACAATCCTATGTTTAAAGGGAATCAAGGGGAAAATGGCATCTCTATCATCCGTTACAAATTAGAACCGGGACTAAATTCTGTGAAGCAACTCTGTGATTTTTGAGTAATCCGAGGACATTCACTGGACTTTGAAATATCATTAAAACTTTTTAAACACAAGCCTCGGTCCTTGTATACATCTGTGGTAAACAGGAGCACATTTTGCTCTGGGGAGATCGATCCCAGGTCGTGCTGGCAGGGTCACAAGCTGTTCAGGAGTGTTTTCCACACTTTGGTGACCCTCACCAAGCACACGCAGCACAAAATCAGCAGGTTCTTCTGCACTTCGAAGTGAAAAATCAGGGGGTTCTTGGTCTCTTTGCCCTCTTTCACCAGTAATTATTTATTATTTATTTAATATTATTATTTAAACAGTAATTATTTACCTGTCAGTGCTACAGGAACTGGGTTTGCTGTGAATTCATTACAGTGGTAATTGTTCCTTACCTGATCCCCGTGGAGATTTTTGGGGGGGTTGTGTCAATAGTGAGACCATTGCAACACCATGCAAAAATGAGGGGGTAAATGGGGAGATCCATGATTTAGGGCTGTGGGGGATTTTCCCCATGTTGTGAAGAGCCTGTGGCCAGGTCACTGGTAGGTAAATCTTTTTTAAGATGAGGCCCTGCTCCTTGGAAGACCATCATATGACTGAGAAACAGCAATCCCTGGGACAAGGGGCTCTGGGTTTGCACCTTTCCAGAGAGATCCTGAGCCCAAGAAATGGGGGAAGATCTGATAACACAAGCCAAGGCCTCCCTGCCACTCCAAAAGAGATTTTGCCTAAGTAGCTTGACATTGTGCTTCCAAAGAGGTCAGCTGTGTTCTGGGCTCCAGCAGCTCTGCCAGCTCTATTATTTTCCCTCATTAGCTTTTCCCAATGTCCTGCTTTCATTTTCTCCAAAACCAGGGCAATGGAGAATTTGCTGTTGTGCTATAACATTTCCCCCTGGCACAGCTAAGATTCCCTCTTTGCTCAGCAGCAGCTGGCCAGTCAGTTTTGGAGAGCAAGGATGATTTTACAAGGAATCTCAAACCCACAGCCCAACTTAAAGAAAACATTATTTCCCATTTGTAAAGATATGGGTTCCCAGTGGAGAGCAAGACAAAGCCAAAAACCATATCCACCCTCCACCAACAGTCTAAGACAAGTTTGAGGTGTAAGTGATGAGATCAACGCCCAGAAAAATCAGCAGATGGACTCATCATTGGCTGCTGGCAAGGCAAGGGATACAAAAACTGCATTCTCCATCTCCCTTCTTCCAGCCAGTGCCTTCCTGGAGGTCTGTACAACACAGGGCCTCTCATCTGAGGTGCAGAGTGAGAATAAAAAGTCCCTGAGGGTGACACAACTCTGTGTTTGGAGCTGGCCAGACCCTGGAACATCCCACAGGGAAGATCTCATGTCCCACTGAAAGCCCCTCAGTCCATGTGACTGTCAAAGGGATCTGCTTTACCTTGGAGCTTTCATGACTCCCTTTTCCCAACTAAATCTCCCAGGGACCATCTCATCTCATTGCTCCATCACATACCGAGCTGGATTTCCAAAAAACCCCAAACCAACCAACCAAACACCCTTTGAAGGTGACATCCCTGTCAGGGGTCACCAGTCCCTGCTGGTCCCCAACTGGGGGTCAGCCTGGACCTGGTGCTACTCATGGTGCTCTGATGGGATGGATGTTCCTTTCTTCTTCCTTCTTGTGTCCCCCAAGATCTCATCTTGGATAAAACTCCAGTTCCCAGCTGTCCTTTTTTAAGTGCTGGTGAGGGCTCAGACAGCCCCTGCCCACCAACCCCTGTCCTTTGGGGATGCTTGGGGTGGGCTGCTCTCTCCCTCAACACCTCAAACTCCTCTCCATGCCCAGAGACTCGTTCTGGCCTGGCTCCAGTTATCCACAGGATTGTGCCCATCCAGATTGGGGATTGCTTAAGGAATAAACATTGGAAGAGTGACATTCCTTGGTCCTCAGCCCCACCCCGTGTATATCCGACCCCGGTTTGTGGAGATGTTAAAAACCAGAGAGCTGTGGACAGGCTGCACACAAATACCCTCTGTGGGATGCTGGAAAAAGCCCCAGACAAGCACAGGATCCAACAAATCCCAAATCCCGCATCAAAGCCCCGAGACAGCAGCGGGTCAGATCCCAAATTAGCATCTCCTGATTCTGCTGGTAAATTGGGAAGGGACGGGATGTGCAGGAGGGGAGGCTGTGGCGTGCTCGAGTCCTGCACAGGAGCTCAGCCTGCGGACACAAGTTCCCCGAGTTCGTGGTAGTTTAAATCCCACGCCAATAAAAATAAAACCAAGGTGGAATTCTGCCCTTCTCCCCAGCACGTAGCAGGGCACAAATGGCTCCACGTCGAGGGACAGCAGCCCGGGACCAGCAACTGCGAGGAGTAGTGAGGGCTATATTTAACAGCTGGCGAGGTGCCCAAATTCCTGAAAAATTCCTTTTTTTCTAGGCTTTGGCTCGAGTTTGTTCTCGTGTAAAACAGCACTGGCACCTAGTGGCTGCTGGATCCAGGCACAGCATCCCCAAAAAGCGTGCAGGGAAGCAGGGACGGGCTGCTGGTCAGTGCCTGCCGACAGCCACGGTGCTGTTACAGAGCAAATAAAACCAAGGGCTTCTCTCCCACAGAATTTTCTACATACAAAATATGATGGAAATTAAAAAAAAAAATTAAAAAAAAAAATTAAAAAAAAAATTTTAAAATGAAAAAAAAATCCCCCTAAATTTCAAAATCCTGCCCACTGATGACAGCCAAATAAACAGGAGGTGTTTCATAAGGTGAGCTGTGCTGGGGCACAAGGGACTCTCCAGATACCCTAATTCTGGATTTCAAAACTTCCTCTCCCATGCTTCCTAAAAACCACTATTTTAGGAGAGAGTTCTTTTGGGTCAGATGTTCATGGTTTAGAAGGTAGATCTTTTATTGTGCAATCCAGCTTGGCTGGCTTAAACATGTCCTGCATGTCCTAAACATGGCCTACTAAAAAAACCCCTCTGTTAGTGGGGTGGCTGGGGGAGTTATTAGAACAGGCCATCAGGAGCATTTCCAGGGATTTGATTCCCAGTGATGTTCTTTCAAAGCTCTCTCTTTTTCCTGACTCAATATTACGACTGCTTTGAGCTCCTCCGGATGGGGATGTCTGAGACTGATTGCAGCTGGTTGGAAATGAATAATTCATCCTCTCCTACTGATTTTAAAGGGAGGCAAAATTATCTGATTGATGATTCTCTGAAGAATTAAGGAGATTGCATACAAAATTGGTACACATTATTGGAGCTTATTAAACATTTACAGTTGTTTAGCTGTCAGACCTTACAAGAATCCTAAATCCAGACCTGAATTGTGTTTTCTTCTCCCTGTGCCCCCTGGTTCTGCCACTTACAGAGGGCAGAAGAGATTTAGGGAATGTGGAGCTGTCCCCACTTATGGCAGCCCATGGCAATGCTGGTGGGAGGCAGCTCAGGAGGGACCTGCCACCAACACTGGGTCAAGGTGGTCATGGCTTTGTCCAGGCAGCTCTGAAACCCTCCTGGGAAGATCCTCTGCATTCCTGGGACTTTCTTTGTGGTGAAACACTTCCAGCCAGCAGGTTTGGGCACTGTCCTTGTACCCTGCAATGGTGTCTTCATTCTGTGCTCTTGTGTGGGTTGGAGAGGAACCACAATCCCTTCTGTGGGTGACCCTTCACCCAGCCAGAGCCTGCTGGCCTTGGGTCCTTCCTGATGCTCCCAAAAAGCAGGCTGGGGTCTGTTCAGAGCTGCCTCACCGGCAGATTTAGCTCATCAATTCAGTTCTTACTGATTTCCATCTAATTCCCTCTGGGACAGCCTATTCACCATCAACAGGCACAGCTTTAATGACTAAAGGAATTACATCATTATTACAGTAAGAATCAGCTGAAACTGGGCCTGGCCAGGACAGGAACCACTTTACTTAGGACACATGAGGAGAGTCAAGTGCAGGGAAAAGCCAGAACTTTCCAGAAAGTCAAGCTTTGCACATCAAAGGATGACCAGCAGCACTCAAGGGGCAGCAGGGATGTCCAGAGCCACAAAAAACCCTCCCAGAACATTGCAGCATCATCTGGAGTTGGAGAGGACCCACAAGAATCGTCCAAGTCCAAATCCCGCACAGCCCAAATCTACCGCCATTCCTCTAGGGAATGGGATCACCTATGGAGCTGTGATTTGAAATGCTGAGGATGAGCCCTCAAATGGGACTGTGATGGTTTTCAAGAAGGGGAACGGCCTCTTCTTGTAGTGCCCGAAGTAGCGGAACCGGTAGAGGCCCGGCTCTGTGCCAGCCGGGATGTGCCACTCAATGGTCACATTGCTCTGGCCTTGGGATCCTTTGCTCCAGTAAAACCTGCAAAACAGGCCCAAAACTGCAGTCAGCAAGGAAATCCATGTTTTATTGGAGCTCACGACGTGCAATGAGATGAACACACTCCTGGTAAGTGCAGTTTAAGTCCTCCCTGTGCAGGGGCAGAGCTAAACCAAGAGGATGAATACTCACTTAAATCACAAACAAAGTCTAATTATTGAGCTCAGGACTTCTGGCACCCATTTCCACATCAAATTCCCATTTTCTTTTACATACTCCTTGTGCAAAAGCCCTTCTGCTCAACCCCAAAACTCTACAGGGAATGTTCAGCCTCAAAACCCCCACACTTCATCTGGACACATGGAATTTTTCAGCTGGCTCTGAGGGAGCCCATCTTGGGAAGCTGATGAAGATTCACCTACAGCTTTGAAAGGTGTCACCAGCCTTGCTGCTTTGTGGATGTTTTTCCTGAAGGCTGCCATCTCCACCCTTAACTTTTCTTTCTTCCAAACTTTCCAAAATTGCTGTCTGCTTATGCTGCACAGCACATCTGGACAGTTTTCCCTGTGAGTCTCTCCTCTTTTCTCTTTGGCATCTTACTCATCCCCACAGTGTGCCAGAGGGATGGATCTAGGCTAGGAGCAAGCTGGACCACAAACCTTCTGTATTTTCTGCCTTTCCTCCTCCCTTTCCCAAATTTACAAGCCTCCATTCCAGATTCTGGAGCCAAGGGGAACACCACTTTTGCCAAATTGCTCCCCCCAAATATGAGCTGATCCTCCCCTGGAGAGCATGGCCTGCAGGGCCAAGACTAACCTGGGGCTGAGAGCTCTGGAATGAGGTTAGACTGGAATGATTCCCTGGATTCTGTGGGGCAGGGAAATTTCTCAGGGCACCCACCTGGTGTCCCAGGAGGCGTCGTTCAGCACCGTGTGCCAGCTGTTGGAAATGCTGGAGTATCTCTCCACCGTCAGGAAGTTATGCTCAGTCTGGAATAAAAATACCAGAGTTTGGCAGACACTGAAGGTACAGGCGCGTCCCCACCTTCTGTGGCACTTTAAACTGGATAGGGACTCTGCTTCCTCATGCTTTACTGGCTAATCTGGGAATTACTGGCAAAATTGCTATATTTTATTGCCAAAGCACAAATTTAAACTGATAAATGATGCAAAGAACTTACCTGTAGGAAGAGAATGGGCAGTGACAATGTCCGTGCCAGGTGAGTGATGGAATGAATTAAGTGCTTTTCTAATTTCCTTTGTTTTGTTAAAATAAAGTAGCAGGGTGGTAGGATGGAAATTAGAGACCAGGTTTGCCCTGGATACCAATTTGGTCTAACACATAATAAGGTTCGGCTTTGATAATATAAAGAGTTCATGAACAGCCCAAATTCTCTTCTTTGCCCCAAAAGCTTTCTTCTGGTGGTGTGAATTCCCAAAGCACACATCTTCCTCTGGTCTCCCAGCAATGAAAAAATCCTACCCAAATACCCATTAATCCCAAACACCCCAATTCCAGCATCATTCCATCCCATTTACCGCGTTCTCTGCAGAGTTCCTGGGGTTTGCACCCACAAAAGTCACTTCAGCAACTTCTCTCTGGGGAGGGGAAATTGAGGTTTGTGTTAAAGGCTGAGTAGCACATTAAGAGCATCCTTTGAAGAGGCCATTTGATGCATTTAGGGGGTGGGTTGTTTTTGTGGTGTTTGATTGTGCTTGGTTTGTTGTTGCTGTTGTTTTAAATTATTTATAATTTCACTTGTTGCAACAGCAGTGGACAATTTATGCTTTGTACTGCTGCTCTGGGCCTTGCCATTCCACTTGTCCACTTGATAAACTCCACCACTGCACATAAAAAAGGGAAGAAATAAGGGAGATTTTAAAGAATGCCTCCCTGCCTTACTGCAGGGAGTAAGGAGACAGCAGTCAGGTGAAAGCCCTTGCTCTGAACTGAAATCTTATCTAAATGCTGAGCATTAAAACCGGAACCATTTCTGACATTTTGATTTCATTTCATTCACATTCCACAGCAGAGGCATCAAAGGTGACCTGACTGCTGCTTGTAAAAAATCACTATACGATATTTGCCTACTTTATCAACTGCTGTTTTGTTTTGAAGCAGAGGGGGAAATCTGCTTTGTGTTGAAAGAAGGGCTTTTATTTTCTCCTTTATTCACCCATTTTATTCCCATCCAGTACATGGAAATGCTCTGTCCCTGCCTTCTCAACCGTGCCCACCGGAGAGATGAAACCTGGTTGGTCTGAGGGCACCACAACTCACAGACTTGTGGAGTGAGGGGGAAGAATTTAAAGGCAATTTCTCAGTCAGGTTTTAGGGACTCCCCGAAGCCCTCACCTCTCGATACTCTTGTCTCACTTCTTCCAGCACATCCCCAAAGTTTTTATTGGCCGGCGCGTTCTCGGCGCTGAGCAAAGGCAGCAGGGTCAGACTGGTTACGTTGAAAAGTGGGGGCTCTGGACCGGGGGGCAGCTCCTGAGTGGCATTCTGGGAGAGGGAAGATGTGCTCCTTAAACATCCACATGGACAGCCAGGGTTCCCTGAGGAGCCACAGCACTGCTCCGGCTCTGCCTCCCAGCCTCCGCTTGCACAGATTGTAGGAATAATAAAGTGAGCGTGAAACCAAGGCAGAGGATCTCCATCTGTGCTCTGCCTGCAGGAGCAATCCCTGCAGGACACCTGCTGCCCTGTAGCTGGCTTCTCCTAAATCCAGCCCCAGAATATGCCAGGATATTCCTGCCCACCACTCCTGCCCAGTGTCCCGGTGTTAATGGGCACCGCCAGGCACACCAAGAATGCAGCAGACTCTTTTCCTTTCGGTAGAAAAGCAGAAACTTCAGGCAGTGCTGAAAGGTTGGAGGTACTGATTTCCTACACTTTGAGCTGCAAAACCCCCAGAATTTCTCAAGGGGTGGCAGACCCCCATTACAGGAATTATTTTCATACCATGTAGTGTTTCTCAGGGCGGATTCTGAAGAGAGATGGCAGCAGTCAGGTGGCCTCAGTGAGGACCAGCCACCACCCCTGACAGGATTTAGATGTCCCCAGCAGCCTGTGGCATGTAGGAAGTGCTGCTTACCAGAGCAATAGCCTTGGCCAGGCCCCTGTACAGCTGGATGTAAGCAGAAAGGGTGTGTGGCCCATAAATAGTCGAGGCAGCCTCGTATCTTTGAACCTGGAAAGGACAAATTTGGGAGAGGAGGGTTGGGAAGGCTCCTGAATGGTTTGTACATCCCATCCCACCCAGCTCAAGATCAGCAGTGGGGTCATTTACTCCCTTTCTGATAAGGAGACAGCCCCAACAATTCACCAAAGTATTTCTGCTGCGATTTCAGGTTACTCCTCATTCTCCAACCTGTTGCAAACAGGGAGGGCCTGTTTGCTCTTCCAGTTAGCACAGTTTTTATCCTCTTTGCTCTCCCAATTATCATCCTTTTTTAGAAAAGATTTTTAAAAAGGCATTTTTAAAAGAAATATTTTACCCTCTTTTAAAGGCTTCTGATGCAACTTGCTTCCCCCTCCAACTTTTTTGGGGTGGGATTCTTCCAACCCCAGTTCTTCCAACCTTCCCTCCCAATTCTCCCTGCCTGTTTTTGTGGCTAAGGAAAAGAACTCCAAACACACATCATTTCACATGAATTATTAGCCTGTGGGGCCAAAGGCTGAGCTCAGTTAGACAGATTCAATCCCCAGTTTTAACATTTACCTGGTATTCCTCGTAGGTGGTGATGTAGTGGGTGTAGACATTGCACAAACCTGCAATTACAACGTTCATCTTTGGTGTCCCATGGGAATCAAATTCCTAAGGAAGGAAATAAAACCTTTACCTTGAAACATCTGCTTCATGCACAACTGTACTGTTGTCATTATTACTGTTGTTGTTTTTATTACTATTATTATATCAATATTATATATATAAAGTTATATTATATATATAATATAAAATATTATTAATGTTATGGTAGTTGGCAGCACCTTACTACTACTATTATTATTATTATTATTATTATTATTATTATTATTATTATTATTATCCAGGACAGAATACAAAGTTATATGGGAAGGGGGGCTGGATGCTCAGGAATGCAAACCTACAAGTGCAATTTGCCTTTTTTAAGGTCTCATATTCACTCCCCAAAGAAAAAGGGGACAAATGACCTCACATTCTAGTAAATCTAGGGGTTTTTTTGGAAGCTGATCTATGGCTGATTAGGACTGTATACTCCTAAAAAATCAGGGATATAAGTGTGAGAAAGGCCCAGTGAACTGTGGAAACAGCATCTGGGATTGGGATTTTATTAAAGCTGCAGCCAGGATGTGTCAATCAAATGGGAAAAAAATACTTTTGCCTTTTTTTTTTTTCTTTTTCTTTTTTTTTTTCCACTTGTTCTCATGTTGCAAAATCCTGGTAGGGATTAAGGAGCTGAACGCCTCTATCCCAGAGCCAAACTCCTGCTGGCATCAGTTCTGCCTGGATCCCTGTGGAATTGGCTTAATGGATTGAAACCTGATCAGTTGGTGTTTTGGGGAGGATATTCATTTCTCCTGCCTGTCAGGAAGCAGATGGAAAATCTTTCTGAAGAAAATGGGAGAAGGAAACATCTGTGGGACACGAGTCCCATGAGCCCAGCTGGGAGGAGAGGAGGGCAAAACCAGGAGGCTCAGGAGAAGAGAAGTCCCAGACGTGCTGTGCTCTGGGGAAAACCCAGGAACTCACACTCTTAACAGCTTCCCGCAGCCTGCGTCCAGACATGGTCCTGGGGCATGGAGGGAACAAAGTTAGGCTCCAGAATCATGGAATTCCAGGATCACTGAGGCTGGAAAATCCCCCCCAGCCCATGGAGTCCAAGCTGTGCCTGATCCCCACCTTGTCCCCAGCCCAGAGCACTGAGTGCCACGTCCAGCCCTTCCCTGGACACCTCCAGGCATGGGGACTCCAAAGCTCCCTGGGCAGCCCCTGCCAAGGCCTGAGCTCCCTTGCCATGGAGAAATTCCTCCTGGTGTCCAAGCTGAGCCTCCCCTGGCACAGCTTGAGGCCGTTTCCCCTTGGCCTGTCCCTGTTCCCTGGCAGCAGAGCCCGAGCCCCCTGGATTTGGGGAGAGCAGGGATCTAAAGCAGGAATTGCTGGCTGGACTTGCAGCACCCACCAGAAATTCCCACAGCAGCTCCAGCATTTCCCAACATCCCTTAAAACCTCTATGCACAAGTTCAACCAAAACACCTCAAAGCATTTCACACCCATCACCATAGCTAGGGAGAGACTGGAGGCACCCCAGGGCAGGGTAGAAATAAAGACACTAGAGATAAATCATTATCCCATTTAAATGTGCATCATTGCACCACCATCAGTCAGTGCAATTCATCATTATGATATTTGTGGTGCCAAAACCAGAGTCTAAGTTAGCAAATTCCTTTGTTTTCCTTGAAACTGCATTTTGTCACAACCAAAATGATTCAGGAAGCCTGTGTGCATCTCAATTATTCTCGGGGTGAGTCTGGGGACAATTTTGAGCCTACCCCCCTTACTACCAGCAGGCAGAACTGTTCCAAGAGGCTTGAACAAAATCTTGGCTGCAATAAATAGAGCAAGACCCAAGGAATACCCACGTGAACTCCCCGGGAACAGCAAGGATTGCCAGGGATCCGATGGCAACGATCTGCACGTCCACAATGTCCGGGTGCCAGGGGTGGGGCCAAGTCATCTAAGGGGGGTGAAAAAGTGCAGACAAATACTCTGGTTTAGTGGGAAAAAAAAAATATCTGAGGTGTTTTACTTCCTACAGTCCTCAATCAGGCAGATAAATGTATTTTGTGAATTTATTTTTAAATTAATTTATTTGTGAAACACGTGAGAAGGTGTTTTACCTTCATGTGATGTCTGACCAAAAAAGGCATGTAAGGCACAGGTAAATACTACGGGTAAGGCAAAAAATCCCCTAAATAAAGTGTTGCCAGAGGGGCAGATTTAGGCAAAGTGGGTAAAGAAGGTCAGGGTAGCACCTATAGACCTCTCACCTGCATGGAAAAAGGGTAGAATTGGGATTGATGAGGAGATGAAAAATCACACTCCAGCAAGCCTAAAAAGGGCTTTTTTTCTGAGGAGCAATCGCTGGGGGCAAAACGTGAATGACAAGAGCTTGTGAAGCACATCAGAAGCAGGAGGCCTGTCAGAGTATCCCTAAAATGTGCTAAAGCCATAGGAATAAAGTGTAATTTACTCTCAGTAACACCATCCTGCGTGGAGGAGGAGGCTGGGAGGAGCTGGGGCCTCTTCTGAGGAGAGCTGAGGTGAGGAGCTGATTGAACACAGAGTGACAGCAGGGAAGTTTTTAAGGCAGCTGGTGAAAGGAATAAGAATGAATTTCCTTATCCAGACAGTCCAAGTGCTCTGAAGAGCCCTGGACAGGATCCCTCTGCTCGGCAGCAGCGCATTTGCCTCAGTGCCAAGGGAGCTTGGGACAAGGGGCAGCGATTTCCATTTAGAGCTGTCAAGCAGGATTTGGGGAGAGCTCAGAAACACCAAGCCATGCCCTGGGCATGGGGATGGGCTGGGCTCAATGGAGCAGCAACTCTGCAGAGCCCATGCAGCCTGTGCTCCCTCCTTGTTCCTCACCAGACATCACAGACATTGCCTGTAGCCCCCCAACAAAGCCCTGAGGGACTGGGGTCTGTGATCCCAGCACGGTGATCCCTGCACTCCCCATGGGAGTTTCCTTACCTCCCCTGTGCTGAAGAGGATGGGCTTGGGTTTGTGGCAGGCTTTGGTTTCGTTCGACGGCTCTCCCAGCAGCTGGTCCCGGATTTGGTCCCAGAACGGGTCCCCTTCTACTGCACCTTGAGGGGGAAACATCTTTTAACAGCGTTCCTCAGCTGCCCCAGCAGCTCCCAGACTCCCTGCTCACGGGGCTGGGACATTTCTCAGTGGGCACTGACCACCTCCCTCTCCTGGGGTGCTTTGCAGAGCTCCAGCCCAGCTCAGCTCCTGGCAGCCTTCAGGTAATGGGAACAAATGAGCAGGGGAATCCCAAACCAGCTCTTAATTCCCCTATTCCCCATCCCCTTGCTCTCCTTCCTCCAGGGCATGGCCATACCTTTTCCAGAATGGACACAGACAAACCTGTGAGGGGTTTCCCCCCACCTGCCCAGAAACCATTCCTTTGGATGCTGTGAAGTGACTCCAGGGGTTCCTGTCTCCCTGGGGAATGCCAACCCCTCCCTGGCCACGCAAAGCCGCATTGGGATCTGCCCCAGATTACCTTGGGTGAAGTTGAAAGCCCCCACTCCGTCAATAGTCCCTGCAGCAAAGCTGTGCCCCAGGGCTGGCTTACAGGTTTTAACCTAAATCAGAAGGGGAGAAGGAAGGGAATAAGAGAGAAAACCCGTTTCCCTCCCTGTGGCAGCTGCTGCTGCGGGAGCAGGGCGTTTCCTGGCGCTCTCACCGTGTGTGTGGCGTTGAGCTCCACGGACACGTTGCTCATGTTCACCCACTGGTGGGCTGAGCTCAGGGGCCCTGTCACCTCCTGGGAGGCTTTTTCATACAGCTCCTAAGGGACACACGAGGTGGAAAAACATCCTTGAAGGACAAGTGGTCAGGAACCCGGCTCTGCTGAGGGGCAGCCATATGGATCATTTCCTCCTTCCACCTTCCCGGGGCCTCTTCCAGGCACTGTACTTCCAAAATCCCTTTGTTTCTGTCACCCTGCCTCTACACCCTGCATGCCCCAAGCCCTGCAAGCCCTCCCTGTCTCAGAGAGGGAGGACATTTCTCTTTTACACCTAAACCTGCCCCTACTTCAGCAGGATGGCATCTTCCATCTCCTGGTTGCCGCCTCTTGGCATTTCTCACATCTTAGACCAAGCAGAAAAAATGTCATCCGTGAGAAAGAAGCGCTTTGCCCTACTCAGTGCCTTAGATAATAAATACTCTGCCATGTGTTTACTGCACCCCTGACAGCTGAAGGTATTTACTACACACACTCAGCCCTTCAGGGAATGGTTTTCCGGGCTCAGGTTGGCCCGTGGGAAGGGTTGCCAGAAGTTACACAGGTTTAATGACATTCCTGGAAGGAGTTGAGGGCACAGCCTTTGAAGGCCAGGAGTCTGAGGTGTTAAAGACAACAGCAGGGTTTTCTTTTCCCCTGTGTTTGATGCACACACCAGGACTCTCACACTGGGGACAGAGGCACGATCAGCCTGGAGTGACTTCAGGGCACAGCCTCTGAAACGGTGATTAAAGGAAAAGCCAGCACCAAGCCTCCTGCTCTTCCTCCTCTGCTGGACATGCTCCAGTTCCTACAAGCTGCTGTCCCTGAAGTGCTGCCAAAAGCGCTCCTTGCACTCACTGCTCTCACATCACACCAACAAATTCAGTCCAGGGAGGCTTTAGAGCCCCCAGGTGACAAAAGGGAGCCCTCAGGGCTGAGGAAATGCAGGGCCAAGCAGAGCAAGGGGAGCATCCTCTGTGGGGGTTCAAGCCACACATTTTACCCCACATTTATGTCAGTTTGGGAATGTGATGGCAAATTGGCCCACAAGTGGTGTGTGGTGGTGTCTCTGAGCTCTTCCAGGAGGATTTTTCCAGTCATGATGCCTTTGAGATGAATGGGAGGGAGAAGGAAGAGGATAAGAGGGGACATCCTCATTATATCCCAGTGAGGAATAGTGAGATCAAAAACCCCAAAGCAACATTTTTAAATGACAGCACCTGCAATGATGTATCTAAAAAAAGGTATGTGCTGTCCAGTCTAAATTCAGGTTTCTAATCAGATGTGTTACACCTGAGGAAATGTTTCCCCACCATTAAGATTTCCTACACTGTCCTAAGCCTAACAAATTCCAGAAAGCACACTCAGAAAGCAGAATATGCCTTACCTTTGCTTTCAAGTAGATATTTTGCCCTATAATCCTGGTGCTCTCAAACATATCATTCCCGGGCCCCTTGGCCATGCACATGGCTGCCTGTTGGGAAATTTGGTGATCAGTGATTATGGAGAGCATCTGGCACTGCCAGGCTGTCAGACCCTGGGAACTGGGAACTGAGAGCTTCTTGCAGGCCACATCAAAATTAGGCACAGGGTTACTACACTCAAGGAAAAATCAGGCTGAACGACCAGAAAATCGGGGGTGAGGGGCAAAGCGCAGTTAATTCCTGGAAGCGGCGTCCAGGGCAGTCCAAGAAGAGGTGATTTTTTTACTTTTGGTGCCCTCTCCATGCAGAAGGTGCTGCAGAAGGTGGGACAGGTGGGTCACACTCACCCCTCCGACGGGACAGGTGCTCTGGGGGTTGTCACACGACTCGCCCGTGTTGGCGCAGAACGGGCCCCGCGTGTTGGGGGACACATCTCCCAGGTTGGATGAGGCAAAGGCGGCCACAAAAGAGCCCTGCCAAGGCCAGAGGAGCATTGCAGTGCCTTGCAGGGAAAGCTGCAAAGCCCACCTGCAGCTCTGGTTTATTCCCAGAGTCACTGGGAGCACTGGAATGGGGGGGGAGAGGGTTTAGGCACATCCCAGGGGTAGGGCAGGAAGAGCAGGAGAGAACTGGATGCACACCATGCCATTTCAGGAAGAACTTCACACCACCTTGGTGTGCAGGCAGTGTTTCCTCCTCCCCCTCTTCCACCTCAGCCCTTCCCAGCATGTTCCTGGCTTCTCATGTTGCTGATCAGATGTTTATGGGTCATTGGAGCACCTTGCACAGGATTTTTTTTCCCTTCCAGGCAATGACCATGACTGATTTACTGGGTGAGAACTATTGGAGCTAACTGCAGGGACACTCTCCTGGTTGTTCTAGGCTCGGGCACTTCCAGGGGCAACCACAACCTCCCCAGATTTTAATCAAAACAAATGTAATTCCTCAAGACTGAATAACTGCCACTGATTACTAGTTCGTAAAGTCGAGAATACACCTTCCTCTTTCCCTTCTGTAGAGGAAGAAAGGAAATAAAGCATTCCCCTCAGTCCTTGTGTCTCTGTGCTTGCCCTCCCTGTCCCAGCCCTGTTTCACCCATTCCTTTGGGCACTCCCACCTCTCCGGGGAGCATCCCCCTGTTCTTCTCCTGCTCGAACAGGTAGGAGGCGTAGCCCACGTTGTCGCTGTTCACCAGGTGGTTGGAGTTGTTCATGCTCACCGGGTGCACGGCAAACCAGCTGGGTCACAAGGCACACACAGAAAATGCTCTGGTCACTCTCTGCAGCAGCTCAGACCTGCTCAGTCTCGTGTATGTGTGGGAATTTTCTTTGGGAGAATACACACGGAGACTCGTGGTGCTTAGGGCTGGATTAACAAGGACACAGGATTCCCATCCTCTCCCTTCCCAGCCAGGGGGGGCTCATGGCTGTAACAATCCAGGCCTTGAGGCCACAAGAATTTGTCACTGTCATTATCAGCGCCACCAAGCTCCTTCAGGCCTGACCTGACCCCTGCAGTAACCCAGAGAATTATATTTTGCAGGGATTTTTGTATTCACAGGAACGAGGAGGAGTCAGTCATGTAAAAAAGGGGGAAGAAGGGAGCACTTTGGTTCTTACAAAAAAATAATGAGGGTATGGAGAGAAACCTGCTGCTCTGGTGGTCAGTACCTGATAAGGCCTAGCTCGGATCCATCCTCATCTACCATCTTCAGCACCACCATTTCTTTATCCGTGTTGGATGAATACCTGGATGGGAACAAAGCCAGGAAACCCCAGCAGAGTCAGGGCCATGCTCTGCATCGCTCTGGCAGGTTAAATCCCCACTAGGCTGAGCCAGGATGTGAAAAGGTCATTGCAGGTACTGCCAGTGCAGAGTGAGGCCTTAGAGAGGCGTCTGAAACCAGCTGGGGAGGTGAGGAAAGAGCTCTGGCTGCCACTGTCCTCCAGCGCCGCTCCTCCAGGGAATGGGGATGACACAAATCCGTGCACCAAGGACCTCACTTTAATGCCCTCTCACCCTTTACTTGTTAAATAAAGCACAAGGTCACATCCTTCACCAATTCCTCATGCTTGGAGAGGGCAATTACAGCTTTCAAATCCTTTTCAAGCCGTGAATTTCTCCCTCCTGCCTGGGGAGATTTTACCTGTTCCGCTCAGACTGCGGGTTGGCGAGGTAGGAGAAAGGGCTCCGGTTGATCTGGCTGTTTTCTACTGTGCCTCTGTTTATAAAGAGCCTTCCTCTCTTCATGTTCTCATGGGCAATACCTATGCTCTGCAAAGCAGCAAGACAGGGGGTATCAACCTGTATGCCACATGGGAGGTTATCTGGGAAAACTCTTTCTTTCCCTCCCCAGCCCTTTCCTGGAATTTGGGGGTGCTTGTTTGTTTGAGATTTTTTTCTCTAAAATTCTAGAAAATTACGATGACATTTTTAAACTACCAGCAGCTGCCTCTGAAGAGAGGATGCAAAGCTTCTGCATTTTGAGCTGCTTTCACTGGCAAGCACAAGCCCCCCTCAAAGCGTGTTGCAGGCCGTGCCACATGGAGCTGCCACCCCAAACCCCAAAATGCTGAACTGGTGACACTGACCTTCACAATGCCGTTCACGATGGAGCTGAGGGCTGGCCTGACCAGCCCCTTGCTGGTGATCCAGAACAGGGTGTACTGGAAGTACCCCCCGGGCCCTGAGTGCGTGTGGGTGCCGCTGAGGATGACGTTGTCCTGCCGGTACAGCTGGCCGTACCTGCTCTGCAGCTGCTTCAGCACCTGAGAGGAAGGAGGTGCTCCTAAAAACCCCTTCTCGTGCCCAAAGGCTACGGAGATTTGGGCCCAGCTCTTGCAAAAACCTCAACCATCCATCCCCCTCCTCAGGCTTCTCTTCCTGCCTGGCACAACAAGGAGGTTGTAGCTGTGGGCTTGGCAAGAACTTCAAAATAGGAATATCTGGTGAAAGACCTTTAAATCCAACCTGAAGTGAATCCCAGATCATCCCAGGATGATCCACAGCTCTCCAGCACCTCCCTCCCTCCCTCCTCTGCTGCATTAGAGGCACCATGATAATGTATTTGTGATTCCTGGTAACTTTTCCACTAAGAGAAGAGTGAGCAAAGTCCAGCCTCATTTGCTGAGGGGTGCAAAGCTCTTCTCCAGCGGAGACACAGCATCCCCCCAAGGAAATCCCGAAGGAAGCAAGCCCCCAGCCCTTCCTTTGCAGCTCCTTACCTCCAGCCTCACTCTCTGGGACACCATTCCAATGTCAGCACTGACAAACACGACCCGCCTGGAGTTCTTGAGGTCTGCCACGATGAAGGCGCGGCTGTAGAGGCGCGAGAGGAGCCCCCCACCCACCTGGTCGGGGTTGGCATATCCCATCTGCAAGAGAGGAGCTCCATCAGAAATCCTGAGCTGGTTATGCCTCTGCGCTCGTTTTCCTGAGCGGATTTGCCCAGGGGTCAGAGGACTCATTCAACAGCTCCAAGCTGTGACTCCGTGTCACCCCGCAATTCCAACCATCATGGAATGCTTGGGCTTGGAAGGGGCCTTAAAGCCCAGCTCCTTCCAAGCCCCTGCCATGGGCAGGGACGCTTCCCGCCAGCCCACCTTGCTCCAAACCTCAAAGACATTTCAACTTAAGTTGGAAGGCGACACACATTTGGCAAGGCAGAGGCTCTAAACCAGGAATCCTGCCAGAAAACACTCTCAAAGGATGAAAAAGCAGTATTTCAGCAACCCCATGAGGAATTCCCCCAACTCACCAGAGGCACTTGTGCCACAGGCCCCGTGCAGTCAGCTCTGCCAACACCCACCAAGTACTTTGCTGGTTCTGCTCTGTTGTTGGAATCTGTAGGAACAACAGCTGGCAGATCAGGGCACACGGGAGCGAGCAGAATCAGGGACAAAAGAGGCCAAAGAGCTCTGGCTGAGTGCTCTGAGTGGATTTCCAGTGGGCTGCCAATGTGCCCAGGCCGTGAAGACCTCTGGGTGGAGCAGGAATGAGGAACCACCCGGGGAGCTCTCCAGAGGGGTCACTGGGCTGTGTCAGATGGGTGGTGATGCACGGCGAGGGGGAACAGCCCAGTGTTCCCAGTTAAACCCTCCAAGCCCACCAGTACCACGCAGGAGCCAGATCCAAGTGCTGTTTCCCAAAGACAATTCAGCTCAGCAGGGATAAGACAAAAGGGGTGGCGTGTCAGGAGCTACCGGGAAAGGACTAGGGAAGAGAGATGTGCACATGCACTTGTGCTGGTGCCCTGATTCTCCCCCAAAAAATATCACAGCAGAGCCAGCTGAAGCTCAGAGAAGGGAAAAGCAGTTCTGAGCAGTGATCTCCAGCCAAATGGTGAGGAAAGGTTATCCCAAAGGAGGTGGTGTCTCACCCCAGCCACCGGGAAGGTGCAGAAATCCTTCCAGGATGGACAAACCATGGAAGAAAAGTCATAGAGGGCTATCAAATCATAATCAATCAGAAAGGTTATCTGCATCTCAGGAGTTCCCAGAGCCACAAATCACTGCAGCCTGAGATAATACAGTGGGAAAATATGAAATATTTCTGTGTGTTTGCTCTGTTCCCACAGCTGCTGCTGCCCGAGGCAGGGCTTTGGGATCAGGGGATGCTCCGTCTTCCCAGCCTGGCCTTTCCTGGGCTGTCACTTGGAAGACAGAAGGGAAACACTCACACTGGCCACAGACTGATGCCATTTCTGTCATTTAAAATGACACCAGCCAACTGGGCCACCCCCTTAGAACTACCCTTCCTCCTCCTCCTCCTTCTCCTTGAGCTCTGACACGGAGGAGAATCACTTGTGCAAAACTCTGACGTGTTACAGCTTAAAAATATGAAGTTTTGAGTCCTAAATGTGAACTACACCCAATTTGAGACCAAAATCTAGAAGGTCCCACTGCTGAGATGTTGAGTCCAGCTCCCGACACCCTCGTGCCCTGTGGGATGGGGTTGGAGGCATCAGTGGGCTGGGGTGGGGTTGTAAAACAAATCCTGGGAGCGAGGGGCTCTCAGGATCCTCTGCAGCGGGCAGAGAGAGGGAAGGGAGGATGGAAGGAAGGGATGGATGCTGGCAGCCAACCTCATCCCATCCCTGGAGCTGTGCATCCATGCCCAGAGCTGCTGCTGTGACACCCCTGCTCCTGCTGCTGTGCCTGGGTGAAAGGACCACGTACAGGGGCAGTGGTGGCAGCTCAGCAGTGGCCTGGGGACCTCTACCTGTCCCCCTTTAATTTAAATCCTGCCCTGGGCACCCCACCAGGAGCAGAGGGCTTGGAGGGGCTGGGATTGCTCCACTTGCCATTGTTGTTTTTGATGAGGAAGTGCAGGACCAGGAGCACCACGGTCAGGGCGATCATCAGCACCAGGCACACGATCAGGATCACCTCCAGCCGGGAGAAGGAGCACCTGGACCTCTTTCCATGCATGGTGGGGGCACTGTGGGTGCAGAAAGGAGCCCGTGGGACATCCCAGTGAGGGGCACATCCCACCCAGAGCTCACACCCCACCCCCAGAGTGCTGTTTGTGTCCCCCACCCCAGTGTCAGAGATGGCAGCAGCACAGAGAAGGAAATGGAGATTTATTTTTCAGCTTAAGACAGCAAAAAAGTATTTCCTGCCGGCAGCAATCACTGTCTGACACCAGGCCTGACAGGAGCTGCAGGGAGAGCACCCAAACCCCCGACCCTGTGTTTCCCAAGGCACTTTGCTCACCCTTCTGAAGAGATCTGGGAATAAACCCCACAATATTCCACCAGGTCCTGTGTTCTCTGAGTGGCTAAAGGAGACGTTGAAGCTCAGAGCACATCAGGAAATAATATTGTCACCACAATAAACATCAATTTAGGAATCTCCTCTTCAAGGTCCCTCCCAACCCATCCCAATCTGTGAGTCTGGGATTATTCTGTGATTAGAAAGGGAAGAATGAGGCAGAGCATCTGATTTTCCTGGCTCTGGTAAAGCTCCTGCCTCCAGGTTATTCCTCACAGGGAATGTGCCCTGGAACCAATGAACCCGCAGGAAGCAACTGCTGGAATGAGCACTCGTGGTCCTGAAAATGCTGCAGTGAGAAATCAGCATCTAAGTGGTCACTTAGACTTGCTCCAGGTGACCTCTCTTATCAGCTGCTTTCGCTACAGCACTCATGGTCAGGGCTGAACTTCACAGAGCAAATATTTTAGTGACAACAAATCAAATGTCACAGGTTTCCATCCTGCCCTCTTTATTCCCTGAGCGTGGCACTGGCTGCCAGGCACCGTCAGCTGTCCAGAGCTACCCCAGCACCAGCCCTAAACACATCAGCCTGGCACTTCTCATCATCCCTCTGACAAAACTGCCCCAAAGCCACTGGGAGATACAAACACCGATCCCACGGGATCCCAGGGGAATCTCCAGGGGGATTACCTGAGTTCCCAGCGGCTCCCAGCTCCAGACCTGCTCCAAGTTGGAAAGTTCAGCTGGAAAATTCTTGCTGAGTAACGCCGTGAGTCAAGCGTGGCACAAGATAAGGAGAAACCAATCAATAATTTGAATCCCACAAGGAGGTGATGGAAGGTTTTGCCCCCGTGTGTTTATGTGAAGCTGCAGACAGCACCTCCCTCTCCCAAAGTCATTTTTCCAGGACTCGGCTCTGGTGCCCGAGGAATTTGGGAATGGGATGTTTTTTCTTCTTCTGCCTCATCACAGCTTGTCCAGCCTGTGGAATGGTGGCTGCCTCCAGTCCTGATTCTCATGGAACTTCAGTGCTCAGGGTTTCCATGCTCTGCTAGAAGAACTTGGAAACACAATTTTAAGTGTAAAATACTTCTCATTAATGCATTTCTATTTGGCAAAAACTTTATGTGTTAAAAAGCAGCTTTTTTCAAGTCTCAGATAGGCCTGGATAAATCCTCCAGCTGCTCAAATACACTTTATCCAAAGGGTTTTGGCACTTTGCTCCTCCCCAAAATGCCAGGACCTCTTGCACCCTCAGATGTTGGTGCAGTGGGAAGATCCAACCAGCTGTGGCCCTTCCTCCCTCCAGCACTGTGGTGGGAATTAAGAGCTGGGAGCACCTCTGGCATTTTCCCTCCCCTCTCAGGAGGTTCAGCTTTTCACCACCTTTCCCGTGGCGCATCCCTGCTCCAAGGGTTAACATTCCAGGCAATGTCTGCGTCAGCGCCTCAAGGTCACGTTCAGCGCTGCCCTTTGGCTCCGTGATTTTTGGACTGGCTGGTGGGGAGAAACACGATTTACTGATACCTTATCTCCTGGCTGCAATTCCCAAGGAACCTGCTGGCCCTGGGAACAGCCTGCTGTGCCATGTGGGCTGGCAGATATTCCCGGACACCGCTGTGCTCCTGGGAATGTTCGGCTCCCAAAGGCCTCGGGGGGAACTGAAGAGGACACACAAAACCATGGAGTGGTTGCTCTGCTGGCATGGGAGAGCTGCTGGGCCCGGGATGAGGCAGGAACAGGTTGGGAAAGAGCTTTTCCTGCAGGTGATACACCTGCTGGAGCATCAGGAAAAGCTGAGAGATGGAGTTTTAAGGAATTGTTACAGTGACGGAGCGTCCTGCCAGCCTCACCCCACAAAATGAAAATAGCTGAGGGAAAGTGGCTCTGTAACCACACCTGTGGCTGGGGCTGGAGGAGGAAAAGGGAGACTGATGACAGCTCAAAACATTCCTTGGGGAGTATTTTAAGTTCTTTTCCTGTTGAGGTTTTGGGGACCCACAGCTCCCCATCTCCCCCAGGTGACGTGGCCCTGTCCAGGCCCAGAACTACAGAAGCAAGAAGGAGCTTTTTGGTGCAGAAAAGGCACTTTTGGGCTGCAAAGAACTCAGCTTAAGTGCTGAGGGCTTGGTAAATCCCTCTGAATGCCCCCCTGCATGTGGAAATGTGAGGAAGGTGAAAAGTTCCCACAGACCACCCTCCTTCCCAAGACCAGGAGTCCTCCAGCTTCTTCCCCGTGCCATTTTGTGCCAAATGAGTCTAAAGAAAGCAATGTTTTCTTTACAACCTTGATCCTCCTGAAAAAAAGCTCCTCCCCATCACTGCTACCACAGGACTGCGCTCTGTGACCTCCCCAGGCACATCCAGGGGCTGCAAACAGCACAGGTATTTCATCCTCAGCAGGAAAAGTGTTTAAACCCTCTTGGGGTTAATGGATCCACTGAAGGGATCAGGAAAAAGCTGACAGAAGGGAAACCACTCAACACAGATGGCCAAATGTGCATTTCCTTCTTCAGTGAACCTTGTGCTTCCAAATCATTAAGAAAAAGGATTCAAACTACCTCCACACAGGAAAAATAAAATAAATTAAGAAAATTTTGTTTGAAATATAAACCCATTAAGCATTTGCTTCCCTTTCCTCTCCTCATGTTTCAGTTCCTCATCCCTCCTGAGCTAGACCAGATCATTTCAGGGAAGTGGCCTTTTCCTACAGCACCCAGATTTCACTTTAAAACCAGCATTTCCTGGTGTCTTGGAGAGCTCCATTTCTGCAAACCATCCAAGCTGGGGCTGGGTAAAACTAAACTCTTCTCTTAAAATGCTCAGGCCACGATCTTCTCTGTAAACCTTCTGAAACAAAATTTTTTCTGATAGGCAATGAAGAGACTGAAAATCCCTATTTTGTTTTTTTTAAATTAGAAGGCCTGGAAGGATTCCTGAAACTGACTGCATCACAAGCCTTTTGCCCCCCTTGTTCTAGGGGGCAAAAATCCCTTTTTTCTTGAGAAGCCACAGTGGATGGTGGGCAATTCCCCAGTGTCACGGGCTCACTCATCCCTGCAGGACCCTTGAAACCTTGATTCCAAGAAACCTTGATTGCAGCCTGTTTGCTCAGCCCTGGCCAGGTCCTGAGCAGAAAATTGGAGCAATCATCATCTCAGCATCAGCAGGGGGCTTGCACAGAGCTGAGCTGCTCCCCAGAGCCTGAGATCCTGGGTGTGAGGGGCCCTCAGAGCTCTCTCAGCCCCCAGAGCCTTCACAGCAATGAAGAGGCCTCTTATATAACATTGTTTATTTAACAGAGAATGACCAAAGTCCCTTTTGCTCGGGTTCAGGATGGCAGGGGATAAAGTGTTTGCACAGAGCTGTCAGCAAGAATCCTGCCAGGCTTTGGAAAGGGTGCTTTAGGCAGCACCACGTGGATTTTCTTCCCCACCTTCCCTGGTCAAAACACACACCCCTACTCCAAGCAGCAGCTGGAAGTGGGATCCCTTCTTTGTGGTGGCAAACAGTGACCCTCCTGCTGGAAAAAACAGCTGGGAGCATGCTGGGTGTCGGAGTCAGAGGCACAGGAGATGTGCCCTTGTCTATGATACCTGGCTCTGACATCCAAGAAATTTCACACAACACCATGGAGACAGATGTTAAACAGAAAAACTGGGAGTGGGAGTGTGTGAGAGAGTTCCCTTAAGTCACTAGGTGAGAAAGTTAGAGTTCAGAGTTTAAGCTCTTCTGAAAAATAAGAGACAAGATGGAGGACTTAGGGTGTTGTCCCTTTCTCCTTCTTCTTCCTTCTTCATCTTCTTCTTCTGGGGATTTTTGGGAAATAATGAGTGATTGGATAGAGAATGACACAGTGCGGCACACAGGTGTCGGGTCATTGGGTCACTAAGAAAAATAATTTACTTGGCATTTGTTAATTGGATAAATAGACATTTAAAAGACCTTGAAGAAGTTCTTCCTTAGCCATTTTGCACCTATCTTAGTGAATGTAGCTCCTTGTACCCTGTATATATGTAATAAAGATACGAGAAGAATAAACAGCCAAGTCTGAACACGAGAAGACAGCCTCTGTCTCATCACTCTCAGTCCTAAAGAAAAAAACCCAGTTACCAGTGTTGCACCCTGACACGTGGGGAGTTTAGGAAGGGCAGGTTGAATGGAAAAGAAGCAAAATCGGAGCAATTGCAGTTTCTGAACTCAAAATCCTGCACAGGTCACTGAGTGACAGCTGAACTGAAGGGATACCTTGCAAACATAATTCAAATGTTGTCCTGGGGTGCCTGGCCTTTCCTTCCCCACCCTCCCTTGCCTTGCTTCAAGAGCAACAACTCTCCTGCCCTTCTGGACAACCAAGCCATGGTGACTTTTTGCTGCTAATAATTTATGTCCAGACATATGAACACCCCAAAATTCCCCAGGTGATGTGCCTTAAATCTGTCCAGGGGTTAAAGCTCCACCACAAATAGAGAATATTTTGCCATCCCTCACCAGAAGCAGCCCCAGGGGCAGGGCACTTCCCTGGGATATGGGAGAGTCCAGGGAAGCGTCACTCCCAAGACGAGCCAAGCAGCAGAGCTAAAAAGCTCTGGCACAAAACTGGGAAAACCTCAAGACCCAAAAACAGCGATGCAGAGTTGGGCAGATCCAAATTCAATCCCACTGGGGGTTTTTGGGGGGAAAAAAAGCTCAGAAAATGAACAAGGTTGGCTGCTCTGTGCGAGCAGGGGCCGAGCTGCTGCTGCTGCTGCTGCTGCAATCCAAGTTAAGGGAGCCCTGTCTGCTCTCAAACCTTGCAATCCCTGCTCCTTCCATCATCATGGAATCACAGAACATCCTGATCCACAGGGATCCATCAAAATCCAACTCCTGGTCCTGCAGAGTCCCAGTAATCCCATAATGTGCCTAAGAGTGATGTCCAAACATTTATTTATTTAAACAGGGAACATGCAAAGGGTGTCATGCCCAAACCCTGGTGCTCACCAGCATTCCCTGCCCAACCTGCAGCACACATGGACAGCCAGGGGCAGGAGAGGCATGGAGAGGATGGAAAAAGAAACCACAGATCCTTCTGGCAAATATTTGTGGCCAACAGCGATGAGTTGCATGGGAGAAGTTGCCAAAACAGGAACGTGTGGCTTATCTTCGGCCAGTGCTCTGATCCGCTGGCACCAGGAAGAGAATGAGCACCAAGCTGTGTCCTGAGGAAAAGCAGGAGGGGGAAGCTGGTGGGATTGCCCTTTCCAGAGAACAGAAAAGCAAAGGGAGCCCTTGCTTGGCTCGTGCTCCTCAAACTCATCCCACCCCTGCACTTTGTGGGTTTCAAACCTTCCCCACGTGGCAGTGCTGAAGGCTGTAACCAGATGGATCTCGGCAGCATCAGTTCCCACCCTCCTGGCAAAGATCCCTGTTTGCCCAGGTCTTTCTCCACCTTGAACCGTCCTTTCCCAGCCTTTTCTGGTACAAACCCCTCTTACCCATTTCAGTCTCCTGGCACCTGCACTGGACTGCCCAGGTTTGCCTCTCCACACCCTAACCTGGCTCTGCCTGTCCTCTAAAGATACCCTGAACACTCAGCTGGAGGCCACAGAGGATGGTTTCACTGGCACGGCGTGGAGAGATCCACGAGTTCTGTTGGATTGGGGCAGCACAACGCTGGATTCCAGCTTTTCCAGACTTGTAATTTGCTGTGTTCAGCTCTCTGATGGGCACCAAGCAAGGAGGAGCAGCAGGAGCTGGGAGGGAGAGGCAACAACACACTGGTGCCCAGGGCAAGGGAATCACTTAGGCGGTGGTTCAGCCTCTAACTGGGACAAGATTGTCCCTGGAAGTCACCCAAGGATCTCAGCCCAGGAACACAAAGCTCACAAGCCAAGTGTGGTGTCCAGTGATGATCCCTGGCTGCATTCCCCAGAAAGCAGAGCCCGAGGGATGGATCTTACCTGAGGTTTGAGGGGAATGCAGTGGGATTCTGGCCACCTGCACAATGCTGAAGCTCACCCTGACCCAGAGCCACATCCATCCCACCCAGCAGGAGCTGCCGGGTGGACACTCCTCGGGAAGGAGGAGTACAAAGCAGCACAAGCTCCACAGCTTGGACCGAGCCAGTGCTCAGCAGTTCTGTCCCAAATCCATCCTTGGGCCCCCTCCTCCAGAGCCAGCAGCAAGGCCACTCCCGAGCCCCCTGTCCCACATTCCCCGGCTCCCTTCCCGAGGCAGCAGCACGCCCTGCCCGAGCACGGCCCCGCCGTGGCACAGATGGCACCGTGTGGAGCCAGAGCCATGCAGTAAATCAGACACCACAAGGCAGGATTCAGCAGATTCCATTTAATGTCATGTGCATATATATCCATACATTTACTTATGTCAATGGTTCGGATGTGCGTGATGCCAGGTCTTGAAAAATCTACTCCTCGGGTTACGTCTGGGAGCGTGAACTCTCTCAAAAATCAGCTCAAAAATCAGCTGGGGTGGGGTTGGGCCGTTTTAAAAACTGACTTTGAGCCCCAAAAGTTTCCAAAGGAAAGCCATGAATTGAAGGCAGAGCAGAGCCCTAAATTCCCACCCAGCTCTGCAAATGCTGTCGCAAAGGGCTTGGCCAAGGAACCCCTCCCCAGCTCCCTCCCTCCCTCCCAGGGAGACAGAACTGATAAGAAACCAGTTCAGCATCCCAAGCAACAGCGAGGCAGAGCAGCAGAAACAACACCCCACCAGCCCTCCAGTTTTGGCCAAGGCTGAGGAACAGGGCAGAGAGGCGGAGATAAATCATCCCCCAAAAAAAAAAGAAGGAAGAAATGACACTTTCACCACCACGGACGCACAGAAATTGGCTTCTCTTCTCTTTTTTTTCTGGTGTCCAGGGGCCAGGACTGGCAGCTCCTGGGGGAAGGGATGCCCCCCTGCCCTGTGCTGCATCCCAGCAGTTGCAGGGTAGATTTTTCAAGGCCTGGAGATGGCTCCCAGGAAGGCTCCTCCCGCCCGCTCGGCATCGATTGCATAGCTTTTATTTCAGATAAGGCACTGTTTTGCCCAACAGCAATTCCACATCATTGCAGTTTCCGTACAGTCCACATCGGATGGCCTACAGTGCAATAACATCAACTTAAAGGCAAGGTTTGGAAGAATAAACCCAGCTTTAAATTTCAACTGAATATTAAAAAGATAAAGGAAACTACATTTTTCAAAAGCCTTTTTTATTTTCCTTCACCATTGTTGTTTTACAATACAAATATCACCTTGTGAATACACAAAAAAACCTACAGAAGATAACTCTGCTTCACGTAAAATACAGAATGGATATATATATATATATATTTATATATATATTTTTCTCTTCTTCACTCTTTTTTTTTTTTTATAAAAACTATTTTTGTTCTGCACATTGGCAAGTTTAGGATAGGAGACTTCCCCAAACATACAGTATGTATGGTAGGAGTGAAAACTTAGAATTACATGCAGTTTCTGCACAAATATTTTAAAGAAATAGATTATCTTTGTTGTTTTTCAACAACACTTCGATAAGGGGATGGAGAAACCATTCATAGTTCACTCAGTGATCATTTGTAAAATTCTTAAAAAACAGGAATTCATGGCTGTTTTGCTTTTTAAAATCCAGCTACCAAGTAGACAATAAAGTGATTTTAGCTTGACCTGCCCACAATGTGTGAGCAAGGTCGGACCCTTTTTATTTGGTGGGGTGGGAGGTTTTTCCCTACACGTGGCAATTTCAACATTATAAGCAAATTTCCAGTTTAATTTAGCTATAAATGCAAAAATTAGTAATTATACAGTATATATAATTCTGCTTTCATGGAATACTTTATTTTAAATAAAAACATTTAAGACTGCCTACTGACCATACAATCAAGACAAGAAAGGCACTAGAAACATAGACAAATCTCTCTCTCTCCCAAGAAGCATTTTGTTTAAATTTTTTAACTCTCTATTCTCTGACATGTAAAAATCTTTTTAAATTTAATTTTTTTTTCATACACATTTTGAAAAATAAAGTTAGGAAATACTTAGAAAATCACTTTAATTTTTTTTTCATCTTTTTTTTTTGTTTTTTTGTGTTTTGTTGGTTTTTTTTTTGTTTTTTTCTGTTTGGTTTTTTTTTTTTTTGCACTTTTTTGACACAGTCAGTCACTGCAGATTCTACAAAATCAGGATTTACCAAACCTTTCTGTGTCTATCATCTTATTCGTAGCACGGTGCAACAGGTAGAAAGATTTCTTGATTTCACCCAAGGCAGATATTTAGAAACCTTCATATAGTCATTTGCTAGAAAATGGCTTACAGCCCAATCTTTGGGGCAAGAGATATGAAAAGTATGTTTTCCCAAGAAAATAATATGCTTTGTTCCCAGACGTGACTGGAAAGACCAGAACTTATGATATAAAAGCTTTTCATCTATGTTGTCGCATCATATACAAAGGAACATGGTGATGGGCAAATGCAAATCCCAACTCTATCAACAAGAAATGTATAACAGTGCATGATCAGTTAAATTCTCTTTATTGTTGTCCAACGCAGATCCTTTGGAGAGAAAAAAAGATCACAGTGCTTACCAGGTAACTGAATAGGTCAGGTCCAGGGAGCTGCTAAAGAAAGGGTTAGGGAGCGGTGGATTTTTGTTTATGGCATCTTCTCTTGGAGTTGTGAGCACTTGGGACAGGTCCTTTCGGGGCTGAGGTGACACTGTTACGTGTCGCTCACCAGGCGGCTGTACTTGACCTGCCGGCCCCGCGCCAGCGCCGGACACCGCAGGGGCCAGTGGTAGGAGCGAGGTACAATTCCTTGGACATTCTTCTCAAAGTACTGGAAGGGCTTGTACCACCAGACCCTTGCAAGGAGGTTAGTTTGGGAAGCTTCTTTTAGCACCTGCAGGGAGGCAAGGACAAAAAGATGAGCACTGAAGGGCGGGTCCTTTATGCGCGTGACTTCACGCGGTGGTGTCCTGCTCCCAAAATCTCACCTCCCAAACGGATCCCAGCCTCCCTGCACACACCAAACGTTGCTCACCCCTGCCTACAGCACCTCAGTTGTTTGATGGGCCCACAGGAAAGGAATGAGTGGCCCAAAGACTCGTGTCTGCTGTCCCTTGGGTATGAAAACACCATCCCCCAAAGCACGGTTGTTCCATAGGTGCCTCTGAAATTCCATGAAGCTCAGGAATCGCTCTGGGGCCTGGCTGTGTGCCTGTGGAGCCATGAGCAGGGCACATCCCATCCCACCTGGACGAAGTCAGAACCCTGCCCTGCCCTCCACACACTCCCAGACTGCTCCTATTGCTTCTCTCAGCCACGATCAAGCCCCTGCTCACAGGCACAGGGAGTGGGCAGGCCCTGAGGGAATTACCCAGCCCCCTGCTGCCTGTTTGCCATGCCAGAGCCAGGGATCCCTGTGCCCACCCATCCAAAGGGAATGCACAAGCACAGGGAATGCACAAGCACAGGGCTTGTACACCGAGCTTAACCTCCATGTCAACCTCACGTGTCAAATTCTGTTGCTTTCAATTTTAAGGCCAGGCACAAGCCCCAGCATGAGGCAGGAGAGAGCAGCACAGCAATGTGTACTCAGGGAAGGATCCAAGGACTGGCATTTCCCAACATCAGGGCAGCAGTGGTGAGCCACCACCTGAGGCACATCAGGCAGCAGAACAGGAATGTTTCCACACCAAGGGCTCTGCTGAAGCAAGTCCTCAGCAGGACTTGGGGCACTCCTGACTCCAGCACTTCCAGCTTGGAAGTACCACTGTTCTGAGAGCCCAGGAGCTGAGCCAAAGCATGGAATCCTCTGGGGCTGTGTGACAAGAGCTGCAGAGTGTGGGCTCAGACTCCAGTGGAACACAGTGCCTCCCAACCTGACTGAACATCAAAGGGCACCTTATTTGCAATTAGACATTTGGCTAGAAATGTACCACAAGGCTTGGCTGTGGTGAACAGCTTCAGGCAGCACCAAACCAGTGGAATAACGAGGTGGGAGCTACAAGGCCTTCAGGGGACTAGAGCCAGATGACCTTTAAGGTCCCTTCCAGCTCAGGTCATTCCATGATGATCCTGTGACAGGATCTACAAAGCTGCACTGTCACAATATAAACTCATCTTCTACCACAGTAGGAAGTCGTTATAAACATAATTAACAGCATGTGCCACAGATAAGGAAAAGATCTGTGACCACAGGCACAGAAAATATTTGGACACCAATATGCTGCTACAGACCTAAAAATGTCCCTTAACTCCCTTGCCTGCTATCTGTGGGAAAGACTTGTGCATTTTCTCTCAGAGAACCATGGAACACCCAGAGTTGGGAGGGTCTCACAGGGATCACTCTGGGGGAAGAACCTTGCCCTGATCTCCAGCCTGAGCCCGGCCTGGCACAGCAGGGGAGGTTTCACTTTCCCCAGAGTTGTCAGATCCTCTCTGATTGCTCCAGTTCACCAACCAGAACTCACCACCCCCTGGAAACACTTTCAAAAACTGGTTCATTTCTAGTGAGGCCTCCTACTCTCCTCTCGAGAGACCTGTGGCACAGGCCACAGAACACAGGAAAACCCCAGCTGGCCTCAACAACCAAACAAAACAAAACCCAGGCAAAAAAAATCTAAATGGTTCTATCACAAATGTGGCCACTTGGCCCAAATTCAGGACTTCAAGGACTGAGGTTACCCAGGGGCAGGAGAGCCCTGCCTGCCTTTGGGAAGACCTTACCATATTTTTGTGGTCAAGACACAAGAAGGACCCAATTGATGATGCCTCTTTGTCCCCTGAAAACCCAATGGTTGGGGGGAAGAGACGGACTCTCCACAGGACATGGGTGAGCCTGGATATTCCTGCCCCCCACCCAGGCTATACCAGGAGCATCCAAGGAGTGGGTGGAACTCACTTGCTGGTTGGCCATTGTGTGGTACCACCAGAATAGCCTTGTAGTGATGTAGTAAGCCACCACCACGTCCACAGTGTAGTGGTCATGAGCAAGGAGGATGCAGAACATCCCCACCATGCTGAGTGCCCAGCAGATCCAGTGGTACCACCAGAGTCGCCGTGGGGAATCTGCAAAGAAGCACAAGCAGGGGTTACTTCCAAGTGAAACCTTATCAGGACTGCTGCTGTGATTAGCAGAGGTCATGGACTGCAATCCTGGCTGACACAGAGGTGCCTGTGCTCAGATTAAGAGCAGGAATGCTGAGATCACAAAAAAAGTACCACTCTTTTAAGGTGTAACTTAAAATTGTACTCAGGGTAATGAGATCCTTGGAAATGAGAAAGGTTATGAAATATTTGAGAAAGATATAATATACCCTGGCCAGTCAAATTAACCTGCCTGTGTTTAGATTGGACATTGGGAAGGAGTAGCCAATATCCAACCCACTGTAAGGGTGGGCAGGCCCTGGCACAGGGCGCCCAGAGCAGCTGTGGCTGCCTCTGGATCCCTGGAAGTGCCCAAGGCCAGGTTGGACTTTGGGGCTTGGAGCAGCCTGGGATAGTGGAAGGTGTCCCTGCCCATGGCAGGGGGTAGGATGAGATGGGCTTTAAGGTCCCTTCCAACCCAAACCATTACAATCCCTCTGGTGAAGAACTTTTCCCCAATATCCAGCTTGAGCCGAGGTATTTTAGCTCAAATTGTGTTCGCCAGTGAGCACAACAGGAAATCCCCCAGTCAGGAAGGAATCCCACAACAGGAGAGCAGCAGGACACTCACACTCTTTGATGAACAGGTAGGTGAGGGTTAGGATGACGGTGTGGCCGCTGTACAGGTAGTCCCCACACATGTTGTGGGAGCCCGTGATGGACAAGCCTCCGCCAGCAATCAACTTCATTATCCTTCGCAGGTGAGATTCCCAGTCTCCAAAGAGCTGGTGAAACAGCAAAACACAGAAACACAGTAAAATATCACAGCTCAAAGCAATGGTTTTAACCAGCAATTTGGCCTTTTAGTTCTTCTCCCGTTCTGCTTTGATCCACAAGATCAATCAGCAGATAAATAAATCCTCAGCCTTCCCCAAAAGCTGGCAGCACATTTCTAGCAGGAAAAAGACTGGAAATGAGACATGAGTGTTTTGATGCTTTGCACTTCTTGTAGCTGGTGCTCAGGTGAGATTTTTATTCTGTTTGAGAGGCACCACACTCTAAAATAAGTGAGGTTTAATTTAGTTCATGTTGTTGGTAACAGCACAGGCCCTACTGATGATCATCCAACAGAAACCAGGAGAACTGCCCAGGCTGAACAGCCAGCTGCCAAAGGCAGGATCTGATGAACAGAAGAGCACCTCACTCCAAACCCTAAGGCCTTGGAAAAGTCTGCAAGATTATTTCTTTCCACTTCCCATTCCAACAGAAACATCTGTGGTATCTGTCAGAGCACGGTGCCAGACTTGTGCTTTGAATCCACAGCAGCCCAAACAGGGATCTCCCTCCACACTGGAATTTGCTCTGGCCCACTCCCAGCCATGGCACTGGCTCACACTGCATTCCTGAAAAACCTTCAGCTTGCCCAAGGAAAACCAAATCCAAGCAAACCAAGTCCCTCCCATGAGGACACTCTGCTCCCTCTCCCGAGTGATCGAGGGCAGCTGTCACTGCCCAAGACTTTTGCTGCTCTCAGCTCTTAGCCAGGCACCAAATATTAAATACATCCACAAAAAATACATGCCATGGGACGACCAGGATGTGTGGAGAACCTCTAGGACCCATCAGGGAGCAGGGGCTAATGGACCAATGCACACGTGTGCTGCATCCTCACCTCATTTTATGGTGGTTGCAAATCCATGGAAACCACTGAACTGTCAGAAGGAAACACAGATCCCCCAGGCTGGCCATTATGCTTTTATTTTAAAATGGCTTTGCTTTAGGAAGAGGAAATTAATAATTTCTGACAGACTTGAGCATGTTCTTCGCAGGAATTAAACATTTCCTGCTAACAGTTGCTCACAAACACTAAACTGCTCCCCAAAGCCCACTTTCCACAATCACATAGAACTCAATAAGATATTGAGAGGTTATTCTTTTCCCACCAGTACTTTTAGAGCTTTCAAGAAAACCCAGCTTTATCCTTAATCTTATCAGGGCCCTCGGCTTGTCTCTACTTGAGTAATGGGAAGGATTTGCCAATGCCGTAAATTCCCCAAACGGGCAGATTTATTCACTTCAGCCCATAAATACCTGTGTTCTCTTTTTTAATTTCCTAGCAGCAGGCTGTTCAAACACAGTGCTGAATCTTCTCCCAGTCACTTCCCTTTCCAAAATCCCTCCAAAAGCCACACAGGTTCTGCCTTGGCAAACACTGGCTGGACTTTCCCAAGGAACCAAAGCATTTTGGCTTTGTCTGGAAGTGCCAATCCTCACCAAAACAACAACAACAGCACGTGAATAAAGCCCAATCAGGATTTTATTGCCTGTACCTCAGTGATTTTACAACCTGCCATCTGATTTATGGCTGTGCTTCTGCCCTTTCCTCTGCTTCAACTGCATCATAACACAACCAGCCCCAGGAATTGCAGTAAGGACCAGGACTCCAGCAATGCTGGGGTGACCAGAGATGGATGCAACACCACCAGCCCTGTCCCATCTCCACCCTGAGCACGTGAATTACCCTTCCAGCCTGTCCACAAGGGTCAAACACCTCTGTCCCAGTAGCCTGGTTTCAGCCAAGGCTTTCACAAGCCTAATTTATCCCTTGGAGTCAGTGCTGGACTGGGGAGGAGGTGAGAACTCCTTGTGCTAAAAGAATTGCAAAAATACGTGCAGGAGACAGCCTTAGGAAAGTCTCTCTGGGCCATTTTCAACCATGGATCATATTTGGATTTGACACACTGAGGTGTTTATTTATTTAGAAGTCAGTGACTCACACATGGCAAAGGTTGCACAGCTTCAGCTTCACTGGGGACAGGAACATGCTGATCATGCAAATTAGCTGAAAATGTCACAGAAATTGGGTGGTTCAGTGCTTTGAAAAGGGTGGGAACTCCTGCACTGCCCTGCAGCACCTGTCAACACCTCCACTGAGAGGGCAGCCAGTGACCTGCAGAAGGATGTCTCTGTCACACCAAACCAGTGTTCTCAAATTAAAATTATGGAATGGTTTGGCCTGCTTTGGGCTTAAAGTTCATCCCATTTCACCCCTGCCATGGGCAGGGACACCTTCCACTATCCCAGGCTGCTCCAAGCCCCAAAGTCCAACCTGGCCTTGGAAACTTCCAGGGATCCAGGGGCAGCCACAGCTGCTCTGGGCACCCTGTGCCAGGGCCTGCCCACCCTGCCAGGGAACAATTCCTTCCCAATATCCCACCTATCCCTGCCCTCTGGCAGTCTGAACCCATTCCCTGTGTCCTGTCATCCTAATTCCCGATGCAGGGTCCCTCTCCAGCTTCCCTGTATCCCTTCAGGCCCTGGAAGGAGCTGTGAGGTCTCCACACACCCTTCCCTTCTCCAGGCTGAGCAGCCCCAGCTCTCCCAGCCTGGCTCCAGAGGGAAGCTGCTCCAGTCCCCTCAGCATCTTCATGGCCTCCTCTGGACCTGCTCCAACAATTCCATGCCCTCCTTCTGTTGGGGGCACAGAACTGTGCACAGAATTCTCAGGGGGCTCTCATGAGAGTAGGGCAGAGGCAGAATCTCCTCCCTTAGAAACCTTCTTGAAAGCAGTTTTGAGAACAGCAGGATGAGGGGGAAACACGCAGATTAAAGCATGGCAGGGCAGCCAGAAGGAGTTTACCTTTGGAGAACACTTGAAATGCATTCCAGGTACTGGGAGTGTAGTCACATACATGGTAATACACCGGTACAGGTATAGTGTGCCAACTATACAGAAAAATCTTCTGCTAATTATAGACCTGGCAGGGAGAAAAAAACCAGACAAAAATAAGGAGGTCACTCAAGGCAAACAAAATCCACAAAGGTAAATAAAACAAACCACCAGCTCTTTTCTCCTGATGCTTTGGAAACTCGTGACACTATCGGCTTACACCTGGGAATGCTGAACTACTCCACAAATATTCCCACGCCTTCCAGGCCAGGAACACAGGAGCAACTGAACTCACACTGCCCTTGAAGGTGATTAGAGGAAATCTAAGGATTAGGACGCAAAAGCCTGTGCAGATTTGGTGCTGAAGACATTAAAGGGGATTTCATGCCCCACACCCCTCCATTAGCTGTGGCCGTCACTGATTTCCTATTCGAGGCAGGGGATAAAGTTACAGCATTTTCATTCTAAGATGAAAAGGTTTATTTCAGCTGACACACAATTTAGTGATTACAAAGGGTCTCCTGTATAACCCAGAGGAGTGAGAGAACACGTCTTCCCTGAGCAGCATGATAAAGGAAGCAGTTCACATCAGCAAGGAAAGCTCCCAAATAAAAATGCAGAGCTGCTCTGGCTGCAGGACAGGCTGTTTGCAGGGAAGCCACTCAGCAGCCACAGCTGCAGAGATATTTATTAGCAATGGCTGATGCTCACAAGGAGAGCAGATGCAGATTTGGGGTACTGTGAGGTGCTTCTGCAAAACCAGCATGGTAAAGGACAGGCTCACGAGGGACAGGCAGACCCAAAACTGCCCACTGGGGTCACACCTAGAAACACCTCAAAGAAAGACAATTATATCTCTCTTGTCACATCCACAAGGACAGGAGCAACCTCTGGAGAATTCTTAAGGAGAGATCACTGCCAGGGTTACAGAAACCAGGGGTGAATCCAGTTACACCAATCACCCTTCATGTGCCACTGGCTTTCGGTTCATTTTAAATCACTGTTCTTTGCACTTATGGCCATTTCAAGCTGCAGATTCTGGCATTCACGGAATCCAGGAACAGTCTGGATTGGAAGGGACCTTAAAGCTCATCCAGTGCCACTCCTGCCATGGGCAGGGACACCTTCCACTACCCTAGGCTGCTCCAAGCCCCAAAGTCCAGCCTGGCCTTGGGCACTTCCAGGGATCCAGGGGCAGCCACAGCTGCTCTGGGCACCCTGTGCCAGGGCCTGCCCACCCTCGCAATATCCCATCCAACCCTGCCCTCTGCAGTGGGAAGCCACTCCCTGTGTCCTGTCCCTCCAGGCCCTTCAGGAGTCCCTCTCCTTCTTTCCTGGAGGTTCCCTTCAGGCACTGGCATTCGGTTGTTGCTATTTTGCTTACTTTTGAAAACTAATATTCCTAAAATCAAGCTGAGCTCCTTTAAAACTCGAAATTGGCCATCTTTCAAATTTTTCAGTGCTTTTGGCACAGTTATTAAACTGGAGGGCTCCACTCTCAGAGAAGTATGATTTTGCAGTGCTAGATCACCTTGCATGCCTTGATTTATCAGGAAAAAATTCAACTCTTGCAGGGTAAACACATTTTGCACTGGAGTACTCACTGCTGTAACACAGTATTCCAGATATTTTTTTCCCCTTCTCCTGGTGTAAACATGGGCAAAGCTGTGAGTTAAGAATTATAAATGTAAAAAGCCTCCTGTTTCTCCAGAGGATTTGTGTGAGTGTGAGACTCAGAGTCAGCCAGCAAGTACAACCTCCACACTTATTCCTGGCCCAGCCAACTCCATTCCAGCTCTGCAGACCTCAGCAGGGAGCACGCTGCTCCTTCAGCCCCATGAGCCAAGCACATGGCCAATCCTGGCATTGTGCTTCTCCCACAGCATCTGGGAATGCTTCCCAGAGAAGCTAATCTGCCTCAGCAGCTTCCTTGAGCTCCCTGTGGAAACTCCAGAGTGCCCAGCCAGGCCTGCTCCTGCTTTCTGGAGAGACACCAGCCCAATCCCATGCCATGGACAGCACTGGCATCGTGGAACCACAGAATGTTTGGGCTGGAAAGGACCTTAAAGCCCTTCCAGTTCCAACCCTGCCACAGACAGGGACACCTTCCACTATCTCAGATTGCTCCAAGCCCCATCCAGCCTGGCCTTAGACACCTCCAGGGATGAGGAAGCAGAAGTGAGGAAGGCCCATCTCTATTCCTGATTCAGGTTTAAAAGACAGGGGATAACCCCACCACAAAGGGGATTCAGCTCTTTCTGTAGCACTGAGTCACCACCCCTTTGGTGTGTACCATCCAAAACCACAAGAACAAGGTCCTCCAGATAGAGCCATCTCACTGGGCTCCTGTTCCTGCCAGCACCTCTCCTTCTCTTCCCTTTCTCCTACTCTTCTCTTTCTGCTGCTCAGCCACAGCCTCTCAGACCTTGATCCCTCTGCTCACAGATAGAAAAGAGGGATTTTGGCCTTCTAAACATTCCATGATCAGTGCCATCACTGACCAAGCTCTGGGATACCCTGGCATCTTCCCCTAACACCAGAAAAGGCCCTTCCGAAGGGGACTTCCCATGGCAGAGGATTGGAATGGGATGATCTTTAGGGTCCCTTCCAGCCCCAAACATTTTGTGATTCTATAACATAAATAAAACCAAACACCCCAAAGCAAATGGGGACACGGTAGCGGGGGGACCTTCACATCTGCCAGTGACACCAATATGTATGTTACCATCAACTCAACCCACATCTCACTGCTTCAAAATCTCCAAGGATTCTGCTCTTCTTTACCTACAGGCTCTGCTCAGCTCCACCAGAGGGTGTTTGATCTCTGGAACCCTATGGATCCCTGGCCCTATTAACCCAACACCTCCTTCTTGAGGGCAATCCCACACCACCTCCTCTAGAGCTGTTTCCCTTGGGTTTAAAATCATGGAATATCCTGAGCTGGAAAGGACCCACAAGCATCACTGATCCAGCTCCAGTCCCTGCACAGACACCCCAACAATCCCACCCTGTGTGGAGCTCTGGCAGCCTCAGGCTGTGCCCATTCCCTGGGGAGCCTGGGCAGTGCCCAGAACCCAGAACCTGGGGGAAGAGCCTTTCCCTGATCTCCAACCTAAATCCTCCTGGCACATCTCCAGCCCTTCCATTGGATCCTGGTTCCCAGCTGCTCTCACAAGAGCATGAGTTGTGCTCCCTCTGAACAAACAGTGAGTTCAAAACATCATTTCATCCAATCCACGGCTTTTCACCCATGATAAAGGTTCAAGTTAACCGTGCAGGCAAACACGAGCAGCGGTGTTGCTCAGTTTCTTAGGGAACATTGGGACCTCTGCCTTCTGCACAAGCAGCTCACACTGCGTGCTATTTCAGCTTTGAAAACTGAGATGAGAAGATCACAAGAAACTTCATTTTGTTTGGGTGCAAACCAGCATCTGTACTCCAAAAGCTGTCAGAAGCACTCAGGTTTTGAAAAGGTTTTACTTACTTGTACTTTAAGAGCAGCCACTGAACAAACCACAGTCCTACAAGGATCATGCCGTTGATTTCACAAATAGAAAAAGCCCATTGCACCCGATCAAAGCGATCAAAAAATGCATCTGGGAGGGGAGGCTGCACCTCCTTGGGAGGCACTCGTTCATGAACCACCGAGATAGTCACCGTGGTGAAGACAAAACAAAAAAGTGCATAAATAAAAGCCAGGAGAGTCTTGCCCCACTCCATGGGATACTGCGAGCGCTCCGGCTCCGGCATGGGGATCTTGATCATCTCCTTCTTGAACCCGTTGGGGACCCCATTGAGCTTGAGCGCGGCGCCGAAGCCGTTCTGGCGCGCGGCGTCGCCGGCGCGCACGTGCCCGTTGGTGTGGCCGTTCTTGTGAGCCTCCATGTGGTGAGCCATCTTCAGCCCCTCGATCATGTTCAACAGCCGCTGGCCGCTGTCGGAAGACACCCGGGACAGAGGGGATTTCTTGAAATCTTCCTCCGTCAGGTTGATGAGGTCCCGCCCGGTGAAGCTCTTCAGGGGCTCACAGTACTCCGGCACGGCATTGTCCGTCAGCCAGTTGGTCACCTCCTCGGGTGACCACAGCACCACTTCTTTCATCTCGCCGGGGACGGTGGCACATGGGCTTTAAAGCGGGCAGCAGTCACTGCGGCTCCAGCGCGGCGGGAAGCTCCTCCTCGGCTTCATCTTGTCCCGGGAATGGGTTTGGCCAGAGGCGAGAGCCTGTCCCTACCCAGCCGACACCAGCGTGTGGGCGCCGCCGCCAGCATAGGAAACGCTCTACTTCATCTTGGTGTTGGCATTCTTCTTCCTGGGGAGGAGGAGAAAAACCCAAAACCAGGCATTAGGACTGCAAACATTGCAGTTTGGGGCCAAAGCCAAAATTCCTGCACAAAACCAGCTGTGCTTGGGATGGACAAGAGACTCTGGAGGGAAAAGAGCAGCAGATTTGAGCTCCAGCCTTGTACACACAGCACTGTCCTTCCTGAGCTGGCTGGTGATTCCTTAAAAGATTTAACACCACTCTGCAGCTATGGGAAGCCTCCTTCCTGCTCTCTATTTTTTACATTTTCCATTTCAATGCTCTAGTCCATGAGCAGCACCCAAACTCCTCTTACAATCATCATACCCATGGATTTAAGCAGCTACAGAGCAAATGTTTGGTATTATTTGTGGTAGAAACCTTTTCTACCCCTTACAGACTGGTACCTTAATGCAATATGTGGCACCAGTTGAATATGAAACCTGTTTTCCACTCTGCATGGCAAAAATCATAAAATCACAAAATCCCAGACTGGTTTGGGTTGGAAGGGACCTTAAAACTCATCCCATTCCAAGCCCTGCCATGGGCAGGGATACCTTCAACTAGACCAGCTTGCTCCAAGCCCCATCCAACCCACCCTAGAACTCCTCCAAGGTGCTACATATAGTCATCAACACTAAAAAAATTGATGTAGATAAGAAAGGATCTATTCTCTGGGCCAAAAGAGCAGTAGGAAAATCAATAATCAAGCAGATTAGCCTGAAAATAAACTGAAGCATTAGGTTTGCAAGTATTTAGCAGCTCTGTTAGGTGAATTTGACTATTTCTAGGGTACACTGTTCCAATTCAAAGAAGTGTTTTCTACCAGCTTAAAAAAAAGGAACCAGAAGAATTATTTTTTATTATTTTTTTTTAAAGAGGAACTAGGTAAGAAATTTCTATACTCAATGAATTGCAGAAATAGCTTAGAAAAGCTGATCGCTTCCAGTACAAAAGTTACAACAATACAGAAGTTACTTGCTTGGAATCTCTTCCCGAAATTCTGAGACACGAGAAGCGAACAAGGCAGCAATGGTAGTGACCACCACCAGCAAATCCTCAGGTCTGGGGTGTTTATGCAATCAACCAACCAAAACTGCTCCTCCCCAGAGCAAGGAGAGGAAAGCAGTGGAAGCCCTACCATCCCACAGACCGTGTACTCTGCTGCAGCATCATGAACATGAAGGGAGAAGGTAACAGCACAGGGAAAAAAAAACACTTTGTATTTTCAAAAGTCAAATAAGCCTTTTTTATGTAAGAATATTTTTAGCCTCTTACAGGCTCTCAAGTGTTTGCATTTCATTGAAGGGAGCAAAGTTGTGACTGAGGAAAACCAAAATAATTTACCCTACTGGCATGATTTGAGCTCAGAACAGACACAAAGCTTTACTCCTACTTATGACCACACTGTGCATCAATTCATTTTTTGACATGTTGTCTCTAAGCTCAGCAAGAAACACAAGGTTTTTCCATGTAATGAACTGTGATGGCAGAGAAAAGAAAAAGCCTTGGATGGAAGGACTGGCAGTACTTTAGACAGGGCAACTCTCACTTACTGGACACACCAGGAATGTGCAGATATTTAAATCCACGAAGCAAGCTGGGATGAAGATGACTCTTCTATTTTGTGCATATCTGTTTTGTTTTAAAGCAGAAGTGAGGATACATCTCTATTTGCTTCCCTTTCTTTCAATACTGAGAAAGGCTTTCAAGCCACAGATTGCTTCATTATTCAAGTTGTGTTTAGCAAATCAGTATTTAGTTACAGAGCTCTGAACATGGAAAAAGGATGGCCTGAATTATGCATGGTAACCCACATTAGAAGCTCCTACAAGGCCGGGACAGAGCAGCAGCTCAGCTCCACCCGCCCGTCTCCGCGTGCTCATTTCAAATCCCGGCTCTGGCAGCACAAATTCCCAACAGACAATACTTACAGACTTCTTGCTGCTTCCCAGGATGGTGCCTCACAACGTTGATAAAGCCAAAGTAATTTATTTTTAATGCTGCTCCCCCAGCCGAGCTCCGGGCCTGCAGCAGGTCCCAGCTCCCCGCGCTGTTTCACAGCCACAGCGCTGCCTCTCCCACTCCTGTGTTACAATCCAGCTTTGGGGCTGTCTGAGCACGAGGTGGGCACCATGAGGTGGGCCAATATTAATTAAACCTTTCCAATTTTCCACACTGGAGTGCCTGAATCCCAACTTCCCAAATCCCTGAACCTGACAGGGCAGCATCCTGTCCACCCCCGACAGCATTTTTAAGGACTCGGCATCCCAAAGACACATTTCAGGAGCTTATAGCCAACCTTCAAATTACATCTCCACTGTCAGGGAAGGTCGAGATTGGATACTGGGAAAAAATTCTCCATGGAAAAGGTTGTCCAGCCCTGGAATAGGCTGCCCAGGGCAGTGGCAGAGTCACCATCCCCACCTGGAGGGATTTAAAGCATTTGTAGATGTGGCACTTGGGGATGTGGGTCAGTGGTGGCCTTGGGAGTGCTGGGGGAATGACTGGACTCCATGAGCTTAGAGGGCTCTTCCAACCTAAACCATTCCCTGATTACATTCCATGCAAAGCTGCCAGCAGGTTCTAAGATGAGCTCCAGATGGAAAAATCTGTTGCCAGCTGCAAATAGCACTCGGATATTGGCACAAGAGTCCCAAAATGCTGGTGTGACCCCAGGATACCTGGCCTGGCAGCCTGAAAAAAGCCAACAAATGTGTTCCTTGCAGTAAAACTGCGGGTTTGGGCAATATTGCTGGAAACTACAATCAGTTCCAAAATGTGCAATCTCAACCTGCTGCTCTCACACCACCAGTCTAAATCACTATCAAGCCCCTTTTGCAAAAGCAGAGTAAATGATGCAGGAGGAAAGGTAACCCTCTGCCAAGGACACAGGCCATGTCCAACAGGAGATGAGTTGTTTTCACTAAGAGTTAAAATCAGGAAAACCAACTAAAATTTTTAACACCACTTATTATTCAAGCCTGTTTTCACAGCCTGTCTAATGGGGGAGGAATAGGCAAAAAAGCTTCTTTACTCACACCTTCCAGCTTGTCACATTAAAAATTCCTCATTCCCTGTGGAGTATCCATGAAAGCTTGATGGGGTGTGGTTTGCAGAAACTACAGGGGACTCACAGCTCTCACTGACCTCCTCCCTTCCACAAGAAGTCTTCTCCTCTCCACACAAGCTGAAGACACAATGCTCAGGCTCAGCGTGGTCCCACAAGTATGGGGCACACAAAAACCTCCCCAGCTCTGCCACAGGTTGGTTAGCTTGGCTGACTAAAAAAATCCCTCCATCCGCAGCAGAGCTGCCTCATTAAGGAGCCTGAACCCGACAAGGAATTATAAATAACAATGTGATTACCATAACAATACCACCTGCACCATGGTAATGATGCTGTGGAAAACCAGAACCTCAAAATACCCACACAAGAGCGAGCAGGATGAAACTACCTCACCAAGGGCTCCAGGTTGCACCTCCTCGTGTTTACAGGATCTTTTTTCCATGTTGCCAGCAAACACTGAAGTGCTAACTCAAAACACAGGGAGTAATTCCCACCACCTCCATCAACACCTTGGCCACCCCAGAGGGTTAAACAAGTATTTGGGGTGCACTGTTACAACCCTACCTATCAAGACCTGTTCTCCTGAGATGCAGCTGGGCACAAGGAGCAAAGGTGGAAGCATCAACCTTTTGGGTTAAAGGACAAGATAATCAGCCATGAAATCATCAGCTGATTACTCCTCCACACTTAGAATCATGGAATGATCTGGCTTGGGAGGGACCTTAAAGCCCATCCAGTCCCACCCCCTGCCATGGGCACCTTCCACTATCCCAGGCTGCTCCAAGCCTCACCCAACCTGGCCTTGGACACTTCCAGGGATCCAGGGGCAGCCACAGCTTTTCTGGGCACCCTGTGCCAGGGCCTGCCCACCCTCCCAGGGAACAATTCCTTCCCAATATCCCATCTATCCCTGCCCTCTGGCACTGGGAAGCCATTCCCTGTGTCCTGTGCCTCCATCCCTTGTCCCCAGTCCCTCTCCAGCTCTCCTGGAGCCCCTTTAGGCACTGCAAGGGGCTCTGAGCTCTCCCTGGAGCCTTCTCTTCTCCAGGTGAGCACCCCCAGCTCTCCCAGGCTGGCTCCAGCCCTTGGAGCAGCTCCAAGGCCTCCTGTGGACCTGCTCCAACAGCTCCACATCTTTCCCATGCTAAGGACAAGGCCCAGGTCTGGGGTCTCCTTGCAAGCAGAAACTGTTAAGTCTCACAATCAACACTGATGAGACAAAACCACATCCACCTAAACCAGGGAAAAAACACCTTCCATATCTGTTTGTTCATCTCAGAGCTCCTCCTAAACCACTTTGAAACCTAACCAAAGCAAAGAAAACCTAAGCCTCCCAAAATCAAATTGTGCCCTTCTCATGTTTGTGTTTTTACTCTCTAAGCTTTGCTGCCAGGGCAACAGTCACTATAGAAATCAGTCAAATAATAAGCTATTTCAGCAACTCGTCACCAGGAGCCAGGAAATCCTTTCAGAGGCAGTGCATGTGTTCCACTTGCAAACCTCAGCATCTTTCCCAGACAGCCCAGGAAAGTTGAGAGGATCTAACCCTCGGTGAAAAATTAGGGTCTAAATGAGAGAAATTTGTAAGCACAGCTGGCAGATACAATAATTGTATTACAATGTACCTTACAAAGGTATTTTGGCCCTTGGAAAACTAACACACTGATAATGTGTGCACACAAATAAGCAGGAGAAACCCAGCTGCTGTAAGGATTGAAGATTTAATGCTTTATAACCCAGCCCACCAGTGAATTCCTCAACCCCACTGATGAGCAGGAGTTACACAGAGACCAAGTGCCCTGGATAAAAGCTGGCAGCTCTTGTCCTGTGTTTTTAGAGCTCAAAACAAACTGTTCACAGCAGCAGGGCCTGAGTCACTGCTACAGTCACCTCCTCTCCAGGCATTTCATTGTGGCAAATAATGCTCTAGCACCTCAAT